GAGTTGTTAATCACTTTATCGACAGGGAGGGGTGGAGATTACCAACCCCCGCTTGCCCCCCAAAAAGGGGGGGGGGTGGGGAATTTTGGGGGGTGGAAGTCCACCCATCTTCAAGTTGCCAAGGTTGAGAAACACTGCACTGAAGAGGTGGAGGTCCAGCACAATCAGACTTGCAAGATTCTGCTGTTATGCATCACCAATCTCAATAAAAGTAGCCCTAGCCTTCCTGTGGAGTTGATTTCCTGGTCTGGTCCACCTCGTGGGGCTGGCAGGTTTTCAAGCTGGGGAATATTGTGGCCCAAATGACTATGAAATCAAATTGTGGAGGGGGAACAGCCCTGGTTCAGAGCTTCTCAAACGAGATGTGACGGCTGGTTCCCTGACTGATGCAAATTCAGGAGACCGTAAATAGCCGGCTGAAAAATCCCCCCTTCTCTGTGAAGAGCCCCCTGCCTTCCTGGATCCCAGGAAGGCTATTGGAAAAAGAATAGACTGAAGTTAGAAATAGATGAACATTTTCAATGTTTACAAATATTGGCTATCAGTCAGAGCCAATGAAGGGGAAGTTAGGAACTAAATATTGACTTAATGATGTTCTGAATAGATTTTCTTGTTCTCTGCTAGGTGATTTATCTTTGAAATAGTTGGAGGTATTGGCCTTCAGCTGACTGGCCGCTCCCATAACGGGACCCAGAAATTGCCACGGTGCACAAGACCAACTGACCCTAAAACTGGAAGGAAGAAATCTGATGATGTTGTTTTGAGCCGGATTAAAAAAAGAACAGGGCGGTGCGGGAGAGCTTTAAGCCTGTTTTAAATGCCTTTACAGGTAGAGGGGAGCAAACAGGGAGCAAACCCCACCCACACTAGCACTGATGTTCCCTAGTTGGGTCACAAAACATCTGCCAGCCAACCACCCAGCTCAGAGAGCACCAAGGACTCCACAGTTCATCCCTGAGCTACAGAGATCCTCTTCTATTGAAAATGCAGGTAGTCCTTGTTTAGTGACCACAATTGGGACTGGCAACTCGGTTGTTCAGTGAAATGGTTGCTAAGTGAAACCGCAACTGTGCTCACAACCTCACTTCAGCTTTCCCTTGCTTTACAGACCTGCGAAGGTCGTAAATGCGAGGATTGGTTGCAAAGTTATTTTTCATCGGTTGTAACTGTGAATGGTCGCTAAATGAGTCATTCGCTAAACGAGGACTCCCTGTAGCTGAATTTGTTCTAGATGAAGTCTAATCTCACTCAGTCCCTGATCGGCCCCTCACATCTTGAAAACTCTGGCCAGCTCACCTGGTTCCCCCGGCAGGGGAAAAAGGACATTGAATCCTTCTGACAGCTCAATGGAGGTGAGGAATCGGACATGACCAGTGTGGCCCTGAGAAAGTCCCACCGGTAAAGGTGGAGTTTTCAAAGCAGCGGTGTTGCCTGTGATGGAGAGGGTCAGCACTACACCTGCACTGGTGCCGATCCAGAGCAGGTCTTTGCAGGCCAAGAGGGAAGTGATCCGCAAACAAGCCGCCTTGTGCTGACGGATGATCGCGTCTGATCCTACAGCCAGGGGAGAGCAAGAGATGAACGTTAAGGCCTTCTGGTTAACCTTGCCCAAAAAAACAGACCCAGGAATGAGAGGGGCTGGCCTCGGTTTCTCTTTCCCTCTGTAAATCAAGGTGGTGGCCATAACCACACAACCAAATCCTACACTTTTACGTGCATTTGCAAACACCATCATGTTTTTTTGTGCCCCCCTTTGTGGAGGAACAACAACAGACTGGTAATGGGGGAAGCCTCAAACTGATCCTGGGAATTTGATTTGATAATGTGCCGGGCCAATTTTTCAAGACTTGGGACCACCAGCGGATGGAGAATTCTCATCATCCTCAGCCAGCTTGGGATTCCAATAATAAGTCGCCTTTTTCAAGCTAGATGACAGCAAGAACTCTGAGTAATAGAAATAATAATAATAATAATAATAATAATAATAATAATAAGTAGTAGTAGTAGTAGTAGTAGT